TTTTTTTTTTTTTTTTTTTTTGTGAATAATTGGTTGTTTGATATATATAACAATAAATAATATTGCAATTATTATCGATTTCAAAGGGTTCGTATATTAAATTTTTCAAAATTAGATTTTTTGTTTAGTTGAAAAAAAAAATCATGTTTATTAAATTTTTAATCCAAAATGATATTCGAATCGGTTTATTAAATGTTTATTAGCATTTGGGTTTGCGATCTCACAAAAATAATACCATCAAGTACACTGGAATAAAGATTTTTACAAAGTAAATAACATAAAAGAAAAAAAAAAAATGATGAACATACAACAACAACAACAAAGTCTTTTAGTCCCAAACAAGTTGGGATAGGCTAGAGATGAAACCCAAGAGAAACAGTGGTAAGAGAAACAAATGAAGAGATTGGAGCAAAAGATAAAGGAGCAAAAGTCACGGTTCCGGCACGTTGATCGCTAGCCTCCAAGCGCTCCTATCCACCGCTAAATCCTTGGAGAGATATTCCAATTTTTAAGGTCTCTCTGAACCGACCCTTCCCAAGTGAGTTTAGGTCGACCTCTACCTCTCTTAACATCATCGACCCGCTGTAGAACTCTCCTACGCACCGGTGCATCAGGAGGCCTCCGTTGGACATGTCCGAACCACCTCAGCCGATGTTGAACCAATTTCTCCTCAATTGGAGCCACCCCGACCCTATCTCGAATATCCTCATTCCATATTTTAACCCTTCTTATGTGCTCGCAAAACCAACGCAGCATACGCATCTCAGTTATACTTAGTTGTTGGACATGTTGCCTTTTTGTAGGCCAACATTCAGCACCGTATAGCATCGCCGGACGAATCGCCGTCCTATAGAAGTTACCTTTTAGCCTTTGTGGCACCCTCTTATCACAGAGAACGCCCGAAGCTGGACGCCATTTCAACCAACCGGCTGCATTTCTATGCTTAACATTTACATCAATACCGCCATCCTTTTGTAGCATCGATCCTAAAAAAAATGATGTATATCTAAACTTAATGTTGGGGTGACACTATACTATATGATATGTCACATGATACTAGCTAGCTCGGAAAACCGGAAGGGACTTGCCCGGTTTCGCCAGCCGGAGTTAGTTAGGTCCGGAGCTCGATAGCATTAACAGCTCGACTTTCACAGTAGGAGGACTACTAATGGCTCGACCTTGTGTTAGTAGCTCGACTGATCTTTGTAGCCCGACTTTCATGATGAAGGGGTTTTTAAGGGCTTGGCATTATAATAATATTAACAACTCGACCTATTGAGGGTGTCAATAGGTCGGCCCAATGAAGATACCAGCAGCTCGACTAGCTAAGTTAACGTGCTCGGCCAAGGCTAGCAGCTCGATTATGATTGTAGCTCAATGAACCGACAAGGACTTGCTCAGGTTATCGAGTAAGTAATTAGTCCAGGAGCCCGGAAGTTAGCAGGGTCGAACAAGTGGGGCAGTTATGAAGAGTAGTCTATGAGAGACACGTGCAGGGTCCGGATAAAATAGATTAACAAATAATCTAATGGACGAGGAATGAAGCGTACGAGAGAAGCTAATAAACTCATATATATAGGTAAATTGGGACAAAGATAAAGGTCAACCACATTCTACAAACTATAATACTACTTACAATTACATACAACTTTCTTCTATCCTCTACTGACTTGAGCGTCGGAAGTTTAACGCATGAAGCACCTCCCGACGTACTTGCAGGTCTTTGGGTAGCATCAAACGGTTGAGGATTAGAGGAAGATCGGTTCAAGGTGCAGGACCACATCACTGTATTGGTGTTGGAACATCATTAGCAGACAACTAGAATTTGCTACTATTGTCAACTCCAAAGTAGTGTTGAAAAGA